ACAGGAGAAAAAACTTGCAAATCTTATATGGTATCCAAAATATAAAGAACTCTTGCAACTTAATAATAAACAGACAACCCAACTGAAAAATGAGCAGTCTTTAGACAGATATTTTTCCAAAGGAGATACACACTTGGCAAATAAGCACATGAAAAGATGCTCACCATCATTAGCTATTAGAAAATGCAAATTAAACTGTAATAAGATACCACTTCACATCCACTAGGATGGTTATAATAAGAAAAAAACCTGGAAAATAACAAATGTTGATTAGAATATAAGGAAATTGGAACCTTTATTCATCATTGGTGGGATGTAAAATTGTGCAGCCACTTTATAAATCAGTTTGACAATTTTTGAAAATGTTAAAATCAGATTTACTGTATGACCCATCAATTCTATGTGTATATAACCAAAAGAATTGAAAACAGTATTCAAATAAAAACTTTTACATGGATGTTCATAGCAGCATTATTTATGAGAGCCAGAAAGTGGAAACAACCCAAATGGTCATCAATTAATAAATGTTTATTAATGTAGTATGTTCTTACGATGGAATATTATTTGGCAAGAAAAAGGAGTAATATACTGATCCATGCTAGAACATTGAGGAACCTTGAAAACATAATGGTTAGTGAAAGCAGCCAGTCATGAGAGACCAGAGATTATATGAACTGTCCCAAATTGGCAAATCTATAGAGAAAGAAAGCGAATTGGTTGTTCTCTGGGGCTGGGGGTTTAGGAGGAAACGGAAAGTGAACTGCTCATTGGTACAGGGTTTCTTTGGGGGTGATGAAAATGGATTCTAAAATTAGTTGTGTTTGCCTGATTGCTGTGGCTAGGACTTCCAGGACTATATTGAATAGGAGTGGTGATAGTGGGCATCCTTGTCTTGTCCCAGATTTTAGTGGGAAGCTTTTGAGTTTTTCACCGTTGAGAACTATGCTGGCTATAGGTTTGTCATATATAGCTTTTATTATGTTGAGATATGTTCCCTCTATACCCACTTTGGCGAGAGTTTTTATCATAAATGGGTGTTGAATTTTATCAAATGCTTTTCCTGCATCGATTGAGATGATCATGTGGTTTTTGTCCTTTCTCTTGTTGATGTGATGTATTACATTGATTGATTTGCGTATGTTGAACCAGCCTTGTGTCCCTGGGATGAACCCCACTTGGTCATGATGTATAATCTTTTTTATGTGTTGTTGGATTCTATTTGCTAAAATTTTGGTGAGGATTTTGGCGTCTATGATTATGAATCAATAAAAAATGTAAAAATAAAAAAAATAAAATAAATAAAATTAGTTGTGTTTGTGCAACTTGTGAATTCGTGTACAACTTGCACAAATTGTGATGGCTGCACAGCTCTGAGTATACTAAAAACCACTGAACTGTACACTTTAAGTGGATGTGGTATGTAAATTATATCTCAGTTAAGTTGTTAAAAAAATAGATGTGATGTGTTACTCTTGAGACAACACAGCTACTCTCGTAAAGTTTAAAATAAGAGGGAATCCCAACTCCTTCCTCTAGTTTATAAGTAGGCTGAACTTCATCTATTCTGTCAACATGACGTTTATTTAAAAGCATTCTTATTCCTGTAATCAGTGAAGAAATCTATTAAAACATGCACGTTGTAGAAACTGTTGCTTTTTTCCCACTCTGCCCTACAAGCCTCTGAATACACAAATGGGTTACAGTGGGTCATGTTAACTTTTAAAAGCTAACATTTTGGAACAAGATATTACTTATGCATTTCAGAATAAGCACTAAAATAAACCAGCCTAATATAATTCACCATTCCCCAAAATGAAAAACTATCTTTAAAGGCAAAAAATGTAAGTTAAAGAACCGGGAGAGACCTTTCTGACTATGCTAACAAAAGCAAATGCTCTATAGAACACAGGCGACCCCTCTTCTCACACATAATGAACTCTTCGAATATGTGCACAAGTTTACTGTGCAAAAGCTTCCTAGTAGATCCATATGCTCTATTTCTTAGAAGCTAAAAAGTATCATAAAAAGACCTCTCACTACCATTTGCCTTTTATTCACAAACTTTGGTTTTACTTCCAACAGATAGTAGATGCTCTTTGAGGTGTTACTTGTTTACAAATGAACCTAGTAAATGAGCTACTGTCTGCTTAAGGCTTAATATCTTCTACTTTGGGCCTCCATCCTATCATTCATTTGTTTGTTAAATATTTATTAAGCATCAGTTGTATGCTGATCACAGTTCTGGGTACTGATGTTACAACAATGGACAATGGACAAGGTCTCTGCTGTCATGGAATTTACATCATAGAGTGGAAAGGCAATGAGAGCAAGAATGATAATTTCTCATAGTGATAAGTGCTATGAAGAAAATAAAACATGGTGAAGGGGTTACTTTAAATAGATGGCCACAGAAGGACAACCTGAAGGTACGTTAAGCCAGATTCCTAAGGATGAGAAGAAGCTAGTGGTGTGAATATCAGGGGTGGGGGGAAACACCTTTCTAGGCAGAAGGTACACCTAGTGCAAATGCCCCAGGCTAGAGAGGGCATTTATCAAATGCCCTATTAAAAAAAAAAAAAAAACCAAGGTGGGGGTATGTAACTAGAGTGTAGTAAGTAACTGGAAAACATGGCATCAGAGAAGTAGGAGGAGGTAGATCATGTAGGGGATTATAGGCCATGGCAAGAGGTTTGAGGATTATTCTGATTGCAGTGGGCAGCCATTTGGAAAGTTTTACACAGGGAGAGATGTTTGATTAACATTGCTGGTGATCATTTGCGTTATTTTGAAGAAAAGGAACATAAGGGTAAAAGTGGGCCAAACCACTTAGAAGCCTGTGGCAGCCACAAAGATGAAAAAAATGATAGGGTGGTTTGGAGTGCAGGAGAGCAACAGAGATAGTAAGTAGTGATCAGATTCAAGACATATTTTGGAGATACAGTTGACTGGATTTGCTCATGGTTGGATGTTGAGAAAGAGATAAAATATAATATAGAGTGAATCCTGGTTTTTAGCCAAAGAAACTGAGTGGTTGGTCGTACCATTAAGTGTGTAATAGGGTTATAAATTGGTATTTACACATGTGCAGATACATAGTTTCTTTATTTCTGATTCTTCTGATTTTCCTCACAAGCCCTAACTTACTGATTAGTGAGGAGTGCTTGGGAAATTGGGGGAGAGAGAGGGAAAAGTTTTATATCCAATTCAGTTGAAAGCTTAATCTATTCCTGTAATTTGGTGCTCAGTCTCTTACAATGCTTAGTGTCTCAAATTTACCATCCCTCAACCTCCCTCTTTTCCTGCTTTCTAATACTGAGTCTGTGTCTCTTGTGGTAGAGATGAGGAGGTGCTGGATCTGCAATATGCAGGTGTTACTCATACTGAGTGCTTATTGCAAATTTGAGAGGATGCAAAATAAGCACCTAATGCTTGGGAATACATAAATGGAGTTAAAGTTCAAAGAAAGGCATGGGAAAGATAAACAAACTGAGGACAATGGTTGCACCTGAGTGAAGGAGGAGACAGGGTGCTATATCTGCAAACATAAATGTGTGTGATGGGACTTCAGTTGTGTGTGTGTCTGTGTGTCTTCCACTTCTTAAAGTTGGTGGTGAGTATATGAGTGTTCATTATAGTTTTAAGATATTTTATATATTAAAATATTACATATAAAGAAAACAGAAATTAGTGAGAACTAACATTTATTGAGCTCTTCAGTGTAGTCTAGACCTTTCGAAGCTTGACATGCCTTATCTCATTCAATCTTAGTAACTCTTTGAAGAGGCATTATTATACCCCTGCTGTATAACAGGAAACTGAGGCCTTTAGAAGTTAGATAATCTACCTGTGGTCATATAGCTGTTAGGTGACAGAACCAGAATGTGAGACTAGAGCAGTCTGACTTCTAAAAGCTCACATGGTTGACCTCTCTGAATGTTAATCAGCCTGTCTCAAAAAGCTCACATTAACCGCAAAGGAGTCTCATGTTAGTGCAACTATCATTTCAACCTCTGGATGCAGCTAGAACTACAGCAATAGAACTTAACCGCCTTGGCCTCCAAATTCAGCGGACTTTCTGAGGTTAGGAGTGCATTTACTCAGGAGCACAGGGCGTGAGTCATTTCCTTAGGTATCTGTTGATTCGCTCAACAAATATTTATCAAGAGCCTCCGTAGCACAGTGGTAAACCACAATTTATTTCTTGTCTGCTTCATTTTTGCAGTTTGCCAAGCGTTGGGACACAAATTTGAGATTTCCATTTTCATTTCCAACTAATGCAAGGAATGCTGTGATTAATTATTAGCTATTTTAGAACTTGCAACCTGGCTTACTGTGGATCTCATTTAAGCTTAACCATTTTTGACCTGCAAATTCATATGACATCTGAAATATTTAGCCACTTTTTACTAAAAAAAGAAAAGTGTTTGTTGAAAACTTGTAGTCTACTTTTCTCCAAACAAAATAGATTGAAATGAAAATAGTGTTTTAAATAATTTAATATGACTACCTTCTTTTTCTGTGTATTCCCCTCTCCTTTTTCCCACAAATCAAAGAATATTTCCTTAATTTTATACCCATTGAGATTTCAGATTTCCCTTGACCACGTATTAGATATACTTTATAATTCTATACATTCAACAAGATATTAAACCCACAGTAGCTCATAGAACTGATAAATGGATACATTTGGGTTAACGTTACCGACCTTCTGGCTAATTAAATGGGTGTTCTGAAACCAAGTTAATTTTCCTCCTGAGGTTAAAAACAGTTTAGTTTTGTCTATCTTGGCCACTTTGTATACGTGAACTTTACTTGCTAGTAACAGCTATTCCTCTAAATCCCTGTGACCTCTTTAAACAATTACGCAAACATAATACTGTTGGGAAGTAACCTTCATTTTTACTTAGTGTTCAGTCCAGTGATTATGTGATGTAAGTATTTAAACATTCCATCTAGGCCTCTCTTTAATAATTTATTTCTTTTTTATGTTAAATATTCAGGGACCTGAAGGAATTGTGGGAATTCCAGGACAAAGAGGTCGTCCAGGAAAAAAGGTAATTTGTTTGTTTTCATCTTTTATTGCTGGTGTGCCCAGAGCTCCATAGCATACTACGATGTTTTTATTAGTTTTTAGTTTTTAGTTTTTGTTTTGGGGGAGGTAATTAGGTTTATTCATTTATTTATTTATTTTAATGGAGACACTGGGGATTGAACCCGGGACCTTGTGCATGCCAAGCAACACTCTATCACTGAGCTGTACCCTCCCCACCATGAAGTTTTTATTTACACTAGAGATAAAGCAGTAAAGAACTATAAGTTTGGCTGAAAAGGCACATTTGCATAAATTAATATTTAATTCCACTTAGGAGTACTTATTACCTTAATTATCTGAAGGCAAATTTTCTACTTTGTTTTTCTCCTGTTTGCGAAGAATTCTTTAGTAGACCATGGGCAGGAAAAGAGAGAAAAGGAAACTACTATACCATTTGTGCTATTCAGTAACAACTGTAGTAAAATACTTAGGGGAAAGAAATATTATTAGAATTGTTTCTAGATTTGTCTTAATGTATTTTTCTAAATTGAAAATGTTAATGATTAATTTTATCTTTCCCATATATTCACTAAGGAACACAAATCAATATGTTTTATTCGTTTCCTTTATGTTTTACTAAGAAAATGTGATGCATTTGTAAAATTTAGTACATTATAATGAAAAAGTCATCCTGTACGGAGTAAATAAGTTGTTCAAGTATTAGTGAAACATAAAACTGATTTTCCCATTGTACTGCAACAGTTCTGAATATATTTACTGTAATTAACTACAAATTACACCATATTCTAATTCCCAAAATCCAGTTCTGTCATTTCTGTGAATATGTACCTTGTCCATCTTTCTCATAATTTGGAAGCAGTATAAAAGATAATAAAAGATAAAAATGAATGAGGTAAATTTTAATTGCCATTCTTACCCATGAAAATCACCCCAATATTGGAGTCTGTTTTCATCAGATATAATATTATGTCTAAAATCAACATTAGAAGTAGGACAGTGCAGGTCCTCACAACAACCTGTGCCTTTGGGAAAACATGTGAATTATTACGAATACCAAGAATGTCCTGGCTGTGATCACAGTTTAGTTTTTCTTTGTGTCTACTTGACTACTGATAATAGAACAGGTTGGTTCCCACATTCAGAAAATGAATTATAACATTTAGTGTTACTTAAAAGCTACTGAACTTTGGTGCTAGAGAATGATCAGTAGGTTTTTGGAAAAGAGAAGGTAATTAGTTTTCAAAGGATGTAAAATGATGTTAAAAAGTTACAGATGTAAAGGACAAACTTCAACCAAGTAAGTGATGGTCCTGAATATACAGAACTACACACTGGAGCCTTTGTGTATTAGACAGATCTCTGTGGCACTGAAGTTCTCTGCAGAAACAGATTTCTCATCAGACCTGTGTTTTCTAATGATAACAATAAATACATGCATAATGTGTACATACATACGTACATAACAAATTTCAAAGTAAAAAACTTGGTTATTTGTAGTTCAGCATGAGCACCAGATCTTCCCTGCTTGTTTAGCCAGAGCATTTTTTATACTATTTTTTCTAAAATTACTTTTAATTACATCTTTAAGATAGCCTAGGTGGTGATGGTATGTAAGTTATTGTCAGCAAGGGTCTTTAACTTTGAAGTTAAAGCAAAGTTACTATTTGTAGCATTTTGCTTACAGAATATCTTCTGCAGTCATTCCAGTATATGATATATTTAGTTAATCTAAGTGTAAATTTGCTTTTACTTTTGTCTCTGATGGCACCTGTAGGGTGATAAGGGACAAGTGGGGCCCACGGGAGAAGTCGGAAGCAGAGGTGCTGCAGGACAAACTGGGGAAAGCGGTCCCAAGGGCGCCAGAGGAACTAGAGGTGCTGTGGTCAGTATTTGATTTGTTTCCAGAACTGAGTTCACAGTGGATGGAAAAGAAATGTATCCATGTCCTGAAAGTTTCATCCCTTGATTAATTTTACAGAGAAAGCAGTAGTTCCATTGAAAATAACCTACCTCCATGGGATATGGAGAATTGTGAGCATTCCACGGTACTTAAATGGCTTAGTGGTTTCTGGACATGAAAAAGGAAAGGGGAAAATATGTCAGGATGGAAATAAAATATGAAATAAGATTTTTGAAAATCAGATTATAACTCCTAAACTAAGTAGGAAAGTTTTGTATGCCTTGTACTTAAAATCAGGATTTAGTATCTGTATAAAACTATGCTGTCATGGTTGACAAATTGCTTTGAAAATTAGGTTTACTTGAAAATGGGTTTTATTTATATGCTTGGACTTCTATATACTTATCTGGGGATTATTTTTTCTAACCAACTGTGATAAATCTCCAAAATGTCTGCTAATTTTTAATCTTTGCTATGAACTGTATGTGATGCTGGAAACAAAGGTATCATGATGCTTCTGAGCCTATGATAGCAGAATTACATTGCTCATATATTTGAACCTGTTCAGAAAGTCACAGCAGGAGAGATGCAAAATGTTTAAGAGATTATCCAATTTAGTCTTTTAACCATTCCATAAACTTATTTATGGAATGCATGTGTATTTCCTAGTCTCTATCTAAATATCACAAATGCTAGACTTTTCACCAAGGTTTTCTGGAGACCATTGCATAGTCTGTCTGTTGTCTGAGGTAGACGTCCCTCAGGTTCATTTAAGTGTTCCATTCCTTAATGTCACCTTATTGCTCCAGGTCATTCTTAGTTCCTTTCATTTAAATTACTTATTTTTTTCTGTCTTTGGCTTATGAGTTCAAAAACATTCTATAATATGATTGGTTTTTTTTAATGTTTTTTATTCCAGATTTATTGAGCATAGTTGACATAGAGCACTGTATAAGTTTAAGGGGTATAACATAATGATTTGATTTATATACATCATAAAATGATTATCACAATAAGTTTAGTCAGCATATCTCATATAAATAGAAAATTAAAGAAATGCAAAAACTATATATTTTCCTTGTTATGAGAAATCTTAGGATTTATTCTTTTAACTTTCATATGTAACATACAGCAGTGTTAATTATATTTATCATGTTGTTCATTGTATCCAGAGTACTTATTTATCTTAGATCTGGAAGTTTCTACCCTTGACTACTTTCATCCAGCCCCTCTCGCCCCCAAACCCACCCTCCACCTCTGGTAACCACAAATCTGATCTCTTTTTCTATGAGTTTATTTGCTTTTGAAATATAATTGACTTACAAGACTATATTAGTTTCTTTTACACAAAGTAGTGATTCAGTATTTCTATACATTTGAAAATGATCACTGAATAAGTTTATTATGATGTCTAGTTACAATATTGCACCATACAGAAATATTACATAGTTATTAGTTATATTCCCCACACTGTGTATTTCATACTGATGACTCATTTATTTTACAACTGGAAGTTTGTACTTTTTAGTCTTCCACTTCCTCTCCTTTGGCAACCACCTGCTTATTCTCTATTTGTATAACTCTGTTTTTGTTTTGTTATGTTTGTTCATTTGCTTTATGTTTTAGATTCCACATAAAAGTGAAATCATACAGTATTCGTCTTTCTCTGTCTGACTTTTCTCACTTAGCATAATACCCTCTATGTTCATCCATATTGTCACAAATGGCAAAGTTTCATGCTTTTTATGGATGAGTAATATTCCATTGTATATTTTTACCACAGCTTCTTTATTCATTTATCTATTGATAGGCAGTTAGGTTGCTTCCTTATTTTGGCTATTGCAAACAACGCTGCAATGAACATAGAGTGCACTATCTTTTCTAATCAGTGTTTTTGTTTTCTTTGGATACTCAGGAGTGGAATTGCCGGATCATGTGGTAGTTCTATTTTTAATTTTTTGAGAATCCTCCATACAGCGTTTCACAGTGGCTACACCAATTTACATTCCCACCAACAGTGAAGAAATGTTCCTTTTTCTCCACATCCTTATCAGCACTTGTTATTTATTGTCTTTCTGACGATAGCCATTCTGACAGGTGTAGGTGATATCTCATTGTGGTTTTGATCTGTGTTTCCCTGCTGATGAGTGGTATTGATTGAGCACCTTTTCATGTGCCTGTAGGTCATTTGTTTGTCTTCTTTGGAAAGAATGTTTAGAGCCTCTGTCCATTTTCAATTGGGTTGTTTGATTTTTTTGATGTTGAGTTGTATGAGTTCTTTGTATATTTTAGATATTAACCCCTTATCAGATTTATCATTTGCAAATATCTTCTCCCATTTATTAGGTGGCCTTTTTGTCTTGTTGATAGTTTCCTTGGCTATGTAAAAACTTTTTAGTTTGATGTAGCCCCATTTATTTATATTTGCTCTGTTTATTTTGCCTGAGGAGACATACCCCCCCAAAAAAAAAAAATCACTAAGACCGATGTCAAAGAGCATACTGCCTGTGTTTTCTCTAGAAGTTTTATGGTTTGAGGTCTTAATATTTAATTCCTTCATTTTGAATTTATTTTTGTGTCTTGTATGAGAGAGTAATCCAGTCTAATTCTTTTGCATGTAGCTGTCCAATTTTCCCAGCACCATTTACTGAAGAGGCTGTCCTTTTCCACTGTATATTCTTGCCTTGTTGGTCATAAATTTCTCATATAAGCATAGGTTTGTTTCTGGACTCTATGTTCTGTTCCATTGATCTATGTGTCTGTTTTTGTGCCCGTACTATGCTGTTTTGATTACTGTAGCTTTGCAGTATTGTTTGAAATCAGGGAGTGTGATACCTCCAGCTTTGTTCTTTCCCAGTCAATCTTGAAATTGATTGAGAAGAAAAACAAATCAATTTGGGCTATTTAGGGTCTTTTGTGTTTCATTCAAATTATAGAATTACTTGTTCTAGTTCTGTGAAAAATTCAGTTGGTATTTTGATGGTGATTGTACTGAATCTGTAGATTGCCTTGGATAGTATGATCATGTTAACAGTAGTAATTCTTTCAATCCATGAACATGGTATATCTTTTCATTTGTTTGTGTTGTCCTTAGTTTCTTTCATCAGTGTCACAGTTTTCTGACCACTAGTCTTTTACCTCCTTAGTCAGATTTATTCCTAGGTATTTTATTCTTTTTGATGCAATTGTAAATGGGATTGTTTTCTTAATTTCTCTTTCTGATAGTTGATTATTATTATATAGAAATGCAACAGATTTTTGTAATTTTGTTAATTTTGTAACCTGCAACTTTACTGAATTCATTGATGAGCTCTAGTAGTTACTTTGCAGAGTATCATGTCATCTGTAAACAGTGGTAGTTTTATGTTTTCTTTTCCAATTTGGATTCCTTTTATTTCTTTTTCTTGTCTGATTGCTGTGGCTAGGACTTTCAATACGATGTTGAATGAAAATGGTGAGAGTGGGCATTCTTGTTTTGTTCCTGATCTTAGAGGAAATGCTTTCAGCTTTTCACGACTGAGTATGATGTTAGTTGTGGACTTGCCATATATGGCCTTTATTATGTTGAGATAATGTGATTCATTTTCATTAAGCATGAGAACAAATTTATCGAAAGAGTACTGTCTTCAAAACAGACTCCTACTTTGAATTTTCTCTAAAAAGAATACTCACTCCTTAAATTTTGATACAAGTTCCCAAACTACCTTCCTAAGTGGTTCACCAAATTTACTCTCCAACCACCAGTACTCCTTCCTTTTAATGTTTGCTGGCCTGATAAATGAAAAAGGGTATCTCATTTTCTCTCTTACATTCTCCTGATTGCAACTAAGTAATTTGTATTTTTCCTCTGGAAGTTGCCTGTTCATATGCACTTTACATGATTTCCTATAAGGGTATCATCTTTTTTTTTATTAATTTGCAATAACTTCTTATATATTTTAGATAATATATTTTATTAAGTAGTTGAAAAATATGTTACAAATATGCTCCTTTCTGTCATTTATCTTTTAATATTGTTTCTGATATCTTTTGCTGTACAGAAGGTTTTAATTATTATATAGTCAAATTTGTCAGTCTTTTGCAGTCTGGGTTTTATCTGTTCATTAGAAATGGCTTCCCTACCTAAAATATATTAAAATATTCTTCCATATCCATCTTCTAATACTTGATAGCTTCATTTGTACTCTTTAAAGCACATGGAGTTTGTTTTTTTGTGTTTTGTATTTTTTTTTTGCTATGATGTAAGTTGTAAAGACTAATTTTATTTTTTCCAAATTGTTAGCCAGTTATCTCAATACCATCTTTAATAAACAATCAACCCATTTCCCACTTTTCTGGAATGCTACCCTTACCATAAACTACTCTCAAATAATCCTTGATCTGTTTTCATTCTCTGTTTTTTTTCCTCCATGTGTTTTCTGTTCCTAGGGCAATACTATACCATTTAAATTGTTATACTATTACAGAATCTTTTGAGCTCTGTTAGGGCAAATACTTTATAATTTGTTTTTCTGAAAAGTTTGGCTCTTACTATGATTTCTTTCCTCCTTCATGTGAACTTTAGAATCAATTCAGCAAGTTCCTTTAATATTGAATTGTTCAATAGAAAAATACTGTATGTCATTCCATCTGTTTATACCTTTCTATATATCCTTTAATGAAGTTTTGTTATTTTGTTTATCTCTGTACTTATGCCTTTCTTATTAGGTTTATTGTTAGTTTCTTATAGATTTAATCATTTTAAATGTAATCCTTTTTCCATTACATCTTCTTATTGGTGCTGTGTAACTTTATATTCATTTTAATGACTTTTGGTGATTCTCGGGGTTCCTTAGGTAACTAATCATATCACCTCCTCTTATTTATTATTCTTACCATTACGTTGATTAGAACTGGTTAGTGCGGTGTTTGGCTAGTCACATACTTGTTCTGTGCCTTAATTTCCTTATCTCCTATTTATTTTAAGACTAAAGTAGGAGAGTTGATGTGGAAACTTTTCGATAATATGAAAGATAAGAACATTTTTAAGAGTGTAATTTTTGCTTTTTTCAATTGTCTATCTTTTCAGTAGTTTAGGGACATTTACTGATTAGCCTTTAGTTTATACGGTTTTCTTATCTGTATAATATTGATAATAAGAGTAACGATATGGCAGTTATTACACATGTTACCAACTATTTCTATTTTAACAACTTTGACTAGAGCTGAAACCATATTCATCAAAGCATCTGAAACTATCAGTGAGTAAATTTCTTGATCCCATCATGACAATATCAAAAACTATCAGAACACTCTCTCATTTATAGTGATGCACATCTACCACAAACTTTGACAAACTACATTTCCAAAAATTTGCTAGAAGCCTGCAGGATCTCTTAATATGATTAAGGATGTTCATACCAGAAGTATAAACCAAAGAGACTTTTTTTTGTGGAATTTTATGGTTCAGAAGTAAAATAAGATGAAAGTTGGAATGTTATTTTTTGTTTTCTTATTTCAGACTAGGTTGAATTTCATACCTTGAAGAAAATCTAAATTTTAAATAATAGGAATACAATTGTAATCACTTAAAGAATTGTCTGTTTTCTTTCTAATGTTCACTTTATTTTTTAGGGACATTTAGGATTGATGGGACCTGGTGGAGAACCAGGAATTCCAGGATATAGGGTAAGCATTTTTCATTGGAAATAAGAAGTGTATATTTGCATGATAACATTATATAAAGATGTTATGCCATATATGAAAATTCATATGCAATCTCCTGATAAACCTTTCTGAAATATTTAGGCCCCATCTGCCTACAGAGTGAATCCTATTTTTCTTTCAGAATAGTGCAATATCTAATGGTATGGCCATGGTGGTCGTAGGTAGAGCATGTACAAATGATATGGAGAATGTCTACTTACTTGTCCTTCTGTTAGGGCCATCAAGGTCAACCAGGACTGTCGGGGTTGCCAGGACCTAAAGGAGAAAAGGTGTGTGTGTGTATACTGACTTTTTAATCCTAAAATTAAAGATTGAATAGATGCGTTCTTTCTGAAAGTATTCATGGAAACATTTTCAAAGAATAAAAGAAGCATTTTTCAACTTAGAATGTATTGCAAATTCTAGAAGAAAAAAATATATCAAGGTGCAAAAATTTAAATAAATTATTAAAATATCTTTGAAAGTTTGTTTCATGATTGAGGTGAAATAATACATGTTACAGTGGCTTGCAATCTGTAAAACTTCGTGACAAAAATATTAAGTACTTATTAAAAGATTGTGAGACTCTAGATTAAATGACTATAGTACATTTATAGTTGAATATTTTATTAGTTAAGAATAATTATCACAGTACACCTCTTGATTTGTCACGTCATTGGAAACATGATACTTTGAGAAAATTAGTAAGCTGCTTTTTATGTAATTAAGGCAGACTGACACTTCTCCAAGGAGAAGTATGTACGGATTACAACTGGTATAAAGTATCATATGGTAAATTTTATAGGTAAAAAAATTTCATTTTAAAAAGATAAAATCAGAATGTATATTTTATAACATATTAGAAAATAATAGGCTTTGTATTTTAAAGTTTGTTTTATTAATTTGGCTTTGTTCATCAATCATTATCTTTAATATATAGGGTTATCCAGGAGAAGATAACACAGTCCTAGGACCACCTGGGACTCGAGGTGAACCAGTAGGTTTTTTTCTAAATTTATTTGATGTTTTAAGATAAAATGCAATTACCATAACAGATTCACAACACCAATCACATCTTTTCAAGGAGTCTTATGTTATTACTTTTGTAACATGGTTTTATATGAAAGTAGTATTTACAGTCACATAATCTAAATATGGAAACTGTTTATAGCCAGATCAAGGTCCTTAGCACAATATAGAAGTTTAATACAGTAACTTTCCAACTCTGATTTTCAGCATTAAATTTAGGATAACTTTTTACAGAGATTATCAAAAAATTACATATGCTAGACATTTAAGGCAGATATTTCTTTATAAATCAAATTCAGATTTATTTTTAAAGTATTAAAAAAACTAACCTGTATTCTTTTTTATAGTAGTTTACACACAGTTACCAAATGATATCAAAACTCACCTAACTAGTTGTTAGAACTAATACTTTAAAGATCATTGATCTATAGTCTTCTCATTAAGCATTTTAAGGATTAGCTGTAACCACGATTTTTGAAGGGTGGCTATTGTAGCTTTGATTATCTAAATATGTCTCTATGTTCATATTTGACTAAAACAATCTTAAAGGATGTATATAAATTGAACTGGTAAAACAAAAAATCCTGGGAACAGAAATAAATACAATTGGTTAAAGTTTCCATTTTTCACAGGATATCACATAGGATTATAGATTCCTAAAACAGAACAATCAGAATATGTAGTCACTGCTGAGGTTTTGATCTGACTCTTGGGAGATGGTTGAAAGGTGTACTTTGTTTTAGAAATAGGAAAAGTTCTAAAGTTTTCTGATTAAATCAAGCCACCTCGTATAAAGGTACACTCATCTATAAAAATATATAAAATTCTTTATCAGAAGCTATCGACAAAACTAAAAGAAAATGTACAGAATGGGAGAAAATATTTGCAAATGATGTGACTGATCAGGAGTTAGTGTCCAGAATATGAAAATATCTTATGCAACTCAACAGCAGAAACACCAAACAACTCAGTTAAAAAATGGACAGAAGACCTGAACATTTTTCCGAAGAAGACATAAAGATGGCAAACAGGCACATGAAGAGATGCTCAACGTCATTAATTACCAGAGAAATGCGATGGAAACCACAATGAGATATTACTTCACACCTCTCAGAATGGCTATCATCAGAAAGAACACAAATAACAAATGTTGGCAAGGATTCAGAGAAAAGGGAATTCTTGTACACTGTTGGCGGGAATGTAAATTGGTGCAGCCACTGTGGAAAACAGTATGGAGGTTTCTCAAAAAACTAAAAATAGAACTACCATACGACCCAGAAATTCTACTCCTGGATACATATCCACCCCCCCCAAAAAAGAAAGAAGAACACTAATTTGAAAAGGAACATGTACTTCAATATTCATAGCGGCACTATTTACAATTACCAAGATGTGGAAGCACCTAAATGTCCATCAGTAGATGACTGGATAAAGAAGATATAGTCTATATATACAATGGAAAATTACTCAACCATAATAAAGAATGAAATTTTGCCATTTTCAACAATATGGATGGGATTGGAGGGTATTGTGCCAAGTGAAATAAGTCAGAGAACGGCAAATACTATATGGTATCACTTATATGTGAAATCTAAAAAAATGAAATGAAATAGTTACTATAACAAAAAAGAGACTCACAGATAGAACAAACTAGTGGTTACCAGTGGGAAGAGGGAAGCTAACACAGGGAATATAGCCAATATTTTATAATAACTATAAATGGAATAAAACCTTTAAAATTGTGAATCACTATGCTGTATACCTGAAATTTACATAATATTGGATTTCAAATATACCTCAATTTGAAAAAAAGAGTTCCAAGTTACCCTAAAACTTATAGGAATTTAGGAAAATAATCATTAAGAGATAAAATGATTTTTTAATTCTTTATCAAATATATTCTAGTCTTGCTAAACCTCTGAGAGACAAAAATGTGGAAATAGTGCAGAAATTCAAAAGTAAGTGGAAAACTATGGGCAAATGGAGTATAGTTGTGCTTGTTTTCCCCAGATTCAGGTATGCCAGGATTAGAGAATGTCACTGAAATGTAGTAAGTGTGTTAGAAGTCTAACATAACAATGGCTTTATCTAGTAGACATGGGACACGTGGGAAAATTATACCAAGAATATTCTAAATAATTAAACCAGAGTCAGAGATTATTGTCTTCACATTATGTCTAATATTTTTATCCACATAGGAGCAAGTTAAAGTTTATGAATTAATGGCCCATAATAAATTTTATGGTTTTGCTAATAATTTTAATTTGTGTTTCTTTTCAGACAGGAGGTCCTAATATGTGATAATTTTTCAAGTGCATTTTAGAATAGATAATTTGAACAGTTTATCATATCAAAGATTTTATACTAGGAATATTTAGAAATAGTTAAAAGTAGAAATTTATTAGATTACTTTCTACCTTAAGGATTAAAATGAATAAGTATAATTTTTATGAGGTTAATTTATATCTTAACAATTAAAATTTCACAGATTAAATAATAAACAATTTCTGATGAACAGTAAAGTAAGATTAGCTTTTAGATACTTTTTAAAAGATTATTAAATATAATATTTTCTAACTAATGGAATTAAGTGGCTGAACGATCCTGCTTAAATTTTTTCAGTCATTTTTACATTAAGTAAAAATGCAAGTTATTTTGCTATATAACATACTTTGCTCATCCGAAAATTCATGTTGTTTAATTGCACTTCATTTCTTCAGTATTTTTTTTAGCAGAATCATTATGAAGTTTCCTTTAAATAATTCAGTGCTTATGATGTTCTTGGTATCATTGAAATTCAATCTTTTGAAATAAGTGGAACTGAAGAAATTATTATCCATTTGGTTTCATATTTTGGAGAAAAAAGTGTTTCACACTGCCTACCATCTGCACTCACAAATACTTAGATCCAGCTGTGAGACTGATTGTTTTTGCCTGTGGTCTCTGTAGGGGTCAAGGGGGGAGCAAGGAGAGAGGGGAGAGCCCGGAGCAGAGGGATACAAGGTAATTACTGCAAATTTCACCCCTTGCTTCGAACTTTGAATAGGGTTCTCTGTGGTTCTGCTCAGTTGCCCATGAAAATAGGCATCATTGAGTTAATGTTTTATGTTTTGGATCTGGAAGAAGCCTAGCTCTTTGTTTTTTCTCTCCCTTTGTTCTGAAAGTATCTTCATCTCCTTCTGTTGCTGTTTCTTTCATATCATTCAGATCTCAGCCAACATGTTACTCTCTGAGAGGCCCTCTCTAACTGCCCTTTCTGTCTCTCACTTTATGTCTTACTACTCTGGTCTGTTTACTTCATGACGTTTAATGCTATCTACGTTGTCTTATCAACTTTATATACATTTGGGGTTTGGTTTGTCTTTGTTCCTGCAACAAAATATAAGATCCGTGGGAATAAGACTCTTGTCTTTTTCATCAGTGTGTTTCATCATTTTTATTAATACTTGTGTCAAGGATGTTCTGTATTCCTGCCCTGTATCTCTTCTTTTTCTGTTTATAATGTCACATGCTAAACAAAATGGTCACTTGCTAACTCTCTCCCTGTAGTTCCTGTCTTGTTCCTTTGCTCACAACATTCTCTGCCTACTCAGAAAATGATGTAATCTTTACTTACATAAATCCTAGCTATCCTTCATAATCTAATTCAGACTCCCTTTTCCCCTGACCCACTCGAACAACAATCTTTCCCTCTTCTGTCGTCCTATAATATTTACTGTTAACAGAAGTTATTCATCACAGATATTTTAGCATCTACTGTTGCTGATGCTTTAAGTATTTTTAATATGCAGCTATCTTAGCTCCTCAGCTTAAAAGTACACTGTCTTGTTCTGAGCCCTGTACGAATTAGTATATAATATGTACATAAACATAATTCATTTCTAACAGTGAATTGATAGGATATTTGATCCAATATATACCTTTCATTATATAAAATTTTTTTGTCCTTATGTGTAAAATGAAGACTTAGGTAGCCAGATTGAATGGACAAGCTGGTAGGTAGATAATTACCATTTATAAGCTGATTTTCTTAAGCCTGAAATCTGAAAAATCAACTCTCACTTCCTAAAACTCTCTTTGAAGCAAGTGTCCAAGGTAGTTCTAAAAGTTTGTGAAATTGTTGGGGTGGCCATCTGACATTTTTCCTATTTTCAGAGAACCATTTTTAGAAGATATATTGTATATGTTCTGTCTCCAGTTTATATAACATTTGTTTCTACAGTGCTTCCTAATCCAAGGAATTCGGTGGATTTACTTGAAATCAGGTTTTCTTTAGGTTGAGAAGCAAACCCACTGCTTCCAGCATAATTTGAGAACCTTCTTAAACTTCTTTAGCTTTTTCTGTGCATTATTTCTCCACACATTCTGAGGAAAATCAGGTTCTTGTTAACATCTTCTTTTGGCCTCTACCAACTAGTCAGTAGCTAAACAAGCACATCTATTTGCAAACAAACAGTTAACTGTTCTGCTGGAAGAAGGAAAGAATGTCTTCACCTAGTCAGAAGAAGGAAAACCCTGCCCCTTTCATTCTGGAAAGTCATATGTTCTTCAAAAATCCTTCATGAGAGGAAAGCTTTCCCCTAGGCTCACTATGGAATCGGTTTCGCCTCCTTCATTCCATAAATACTCCTGATACAGTTTTCAGTTGTGGATGTTTGATGAACTAGTGGGAGCCACGTTTTCTTTCTGTCTTACTCTATCCTATGTTCTTAGGTTTTAGGAGTCATTTGATCATTCACTGATGGGTTTATTTTAAAAATCCATTTAGTACCAGGCAACCACAGTAATTTTATTGGTTAGACATCTAAGTCATGAAATACCCACACTTATCCCCTGGCGCATTTTCCCAAGCGTAAGTTTGATTCATCCAGGGGAACCATGTTTTACTTAGAGTGTTCTGTTGTAGCCTTAGGTGATATTTTAAAATGTTTGCTTTTCTATATGGGCATTGTAGATACTATCATTTCACTCTAGAAAACTGATGGTTAGCATTATCACCAAGCTTTTTTTTTAAATTGTACTAAAATGCACATAATGTGAAATTTACCATTTTATTCATTTTAAAGTCTAAAATTCAGAGACATTTAGTACATTAGCAATATTGTACAATAATCGCACGCTACTTAGTTCCAGAACAATTTTGACCACCCAGAAAAGGAAGCTCCATGCCCACTAGCCAGTCACTCTCTATCTCACCCAGCCTCTGGCAGCCACTACTCTGCCTTCTATCTCTCTTGATTTATCTACTCTGTACACATCACATAAGTAGAATCATTCAATACATAGCCTCTTGTGTCTGGCTTCTTTCACTTGACATAAGTTTTTCAGGATTCATCCATATTGTAAAATATATCAATACTTCATTCCTTTTATGGCTGAATAATCACGAAGCTTTTAAACTTTTATGTTCACAAATATTCTTACAGTTATGGTGAACTCATGATTGGAGAAAAAAAATGGAATGAATAATGAAAACTTTGCTTCCATTTGGCTATGAACAGTTGAAACAGTTGATTACATTTTGTAATCCTTCTCACCATTTTTTGTTCTTTTTTCCTCTGGAAGAAACTGAGAATCATAAAAGTCAAGTGTGTTGCTCATTATCAATAAATATTTATTAGGCATTATTCTATATGACACATTTTATGTGTTATGTATAATTAAATCTCTGGTCACTTAACATACATTTTAGAGTCTGCTGTGGGCCAGGAGCCATGAATTTAACAGTAGGCAACCCAAACTCATTCCTTGATTCCATGGATATCACTCAGACAGAAAAGAGTGCTTAATCAGTATAAAAACAGATACAGTTGTTATCCAGTAAACTATACATCATATATGTCAAGATAAATTAATCTGAGGCTTGAGAGAGTCAGAGAACATGGTTTGAATAAGAGCACTATACTGTCAGTATTTACTTTTTAAAGATATGAGCAGAAACACATATACCCAAGATTAAATCAGGCTAAATTTGAGTGCGATGAGCCCTAAAAATACAGTAAATGAATCATGATCTAGCTTCAACTCCTTTTTACTTTGGTTTGGCAAAGGCCATAGAATTCTTTGCATACAGTAGAAGAACTAAATGCTCACTTGGCCTTCTCTCCTTAGCATCAGACATGCAGATTCAAGCAGCTGTTAGACATCGTCACAGCAACTCAGACACAGCATGTCTAAACCAGTGTCAGCGTCCTCTCCAAATCTGATCTGCCACTTTTTGTGTCCTTAGTTTGGTGAAGAGTTTCACAAGACATCCAGATGTCCAGTAAATGAATCTTCCCTCTTTCTGTCTCTCTCTGTCTCTCTTGCTCTCTCTCTCTCCTCTCCTTCCCTCCTTTCTTTCCTTTCTCTGCCCTCTCACCTCTCAAACTCAATTGGCTGCTGCTTTGGGCCCCTTAAATATATCTGGAATCTTTCCACTTTGCCCTACTTTAGGCTTTCATCGTTTTTTGCCTGAGTTATTTTTATATTTTTCTAACTAGGCTCCTTATCCCCAGTCGTAGCCCTCTCAAATTTATTCTCCACTTAGCATGCTGTGTTAGATGAATCTCCATTTAGCCTCCCATGCTCTTTCTTCTGCAGAACGCTTTCCTTTTACAGTACTGCCTGGAGCATGCATCCTTCAAACTTCATCTTGTCATCGCTTCCCATATACAATCCTCTCCAAGCTCCCCTCGGCCATCCAACTCATCCCATCACTAAAATCATCAGGAAAAAAAAGTCAATCACTTCCCATAATCTTGCCCACATTACTTAATAATAATATTTACTACAGTATATTTAACTTTTTGCCACTGCATAAAAATAGTCTGCTAATTTTTATTGGAGTGGAAAGGACCAGAGGAATTATAGTGAAGCTTCTGGAAAACAAGTTTGTTTTGTTGTGAGATTTGTATCCAGACATCACAAAGCCAAGAGAGGCAGGTGGCTCTCCTATGATCATTCTAAAAGGATGGTTTCTTAGGTGTATACATCTATCAAAATTGATCAAATTGTACATCTGGAAAAAAATGTAAATCAAAATTAAAATGTCTCTGTAGCTACAGGTAAGAGTAGCGGTGGAGCCACAATAGGCCTCGATGGTTTTGAACTTTGTCGTTTATTCAGTTCTTACTGTCTCTTCACTGTTATCCCAGCTTCTCAGCAAGCACTGCTCTCCGGAGCCTGCTGAGTAAGTGACCTCCCGCAGTCGTATTTGCTTGAACGCAGCTCCATCTTGACTGACCTGATTCTGCTTCTTGCTGACTCCGCTCATGTGCTGTTGGTAAGGGTCGTGGGTGATAATGGTTTTCTCTTCAGTTATGGCCGTGTAGTAAGATTTCCAAATTAGCCGTTCTCTCTTGCAGCTTTCTCTCTCTCACTCCCTTAAACAGGATTCATTTCCTTTATCAGGAAGTTGGATCTTAAAACCATAAATATTTGCCTTGCAGAATGCAAACAAGCCTTCAGTTGATCTTTCTGTGGGAATAAATATTGTTAGCCTCAGGTATGTAGGCCTTTCTTCTCCTAGCCCGGAAAAAGGAGATGACCTGATAACTGTCTTTCCGGTGGCATTCTTTCTATAATATACAGGAAGAAAGAAATCTGAAGTGAAGAGAGGACAGTAGGGAAGGGGATAAAAGAGATTACATGTGGAATTCTTCCTGTGTAACTTACCTGACATGCCCCTGGGTTGTTGCTAGTTTCTGTTTACACACTAGACAAGGGAAATGTGGAAGGTCAGCATTCCTTCTCGGTAGAACTGGGGTGATGGCAGATTGCTGAACGTCACAGTCACTTGATGTCTCGGCATACATAGTAACAACTCCCAGTCTTCAGCTCAGTAAATCTACTCCCTAAATGGCTGTGAACTTAAGTTTGTAAAAATGGAGACCACAAGTACACTTCCACAGTGGGAAAAGGTTGAAAAAAGAAATTTGTTCTCAAACTCTTTATTCATTTATTTACTGTATTAGTTTCCTGAGCCTGCTGTGACAAATTGCCACAAACCAGGTGGCTTAAAACAGTGGAAATTTATTCTCTCACAGTCCTAGAGGCCAGAAATCCAAAAGCAAGATACCAGTAGGGCGGTGATCTCACTGTAAGCTCTAAGGGAGAATCTGTCCCTGCTCCTTCCAAGCTGCTAGAGGCTGACACATTACTTCTGGCTGCACCACTCCAATCTCTGCCTTTGTCTTCACATGACCTTCTTTGCTTATATCTGTCTGTCTCTGTGTGTCTCTTACAAGGATACTAGTCAGCAGATTTAGGGCCAACATGGATAATCTAGGATAATCTCCTTCTCAGATCCTGAACTTAATGACATCTGCAAAGATCCTTTCTTCTAAGTAAAATCACATTCACAGGTTCTGGGGATTAGGGCATAGACATCTTTTGGCTTCGGTGGGCCATCCTTCAACCCACTATATTAACCTATGTGGAAAAAGTGAAACAGAAGTCTATACCCTTTCTCAGTTATCATAATATCTGATGGCTATTATGTTCAGTACTATTTCCAAGAGAGAATCATAATCTCTATAATATTTAAATTGAATTCTGTAACAATTTGCTACCACTTTAAGTGATAACTACCTTGTTCTCTAAGTCACATGTCTTTATTTACTCTAATAATACAATCTTTTCCATTCATAGGGTCATGTGGGTACACCAGGACCAAGAGGTGCCGCTGGACAACAAGGGCCCCCAGTATGTTTTGAAAGCATGCTTTGTGATTCTGGCATTTAAAAACATTAATGTTAATAGATCTTACTTTGTCTCTGCCTTATATGTGATTTCTGTTTTGGTTCCTATTAAAGGGTGAGCCAGGTGACCAGGGTGAACAAGGACTAAAAGGAGAGAGAGGATCTGAAGTAAGTTGAAATTGCTTTAAAACAATTTGAAATTTATCCCTGGCTTGAGAAAGCAGGGGCACCCGGAGTTGCTGTTCATTGTAACTTAAATGCTCATCCATCCTTTCAGAGCAGGAGTCACCACAGGCCTCTAAACAGGGTATTTGCTAATAATTGCACTAAAACATGATTATTGGTTAATTCATGTGTTTTGACTGCCATTCAAATTTCCCTTTACCAGCAGCCTGCTCTGGCTTTAAGAAAATTGACTAAAGTTGTCCCAAACTAATTGTCCTTCCTTGGGATTTCAGGCAGAACTCCCAAC